GGGTGGCAGCCCCGCATCATATATATGTGTGTGTGTGTCTGCATGTATGTGTGTGTGTACATATGTACGCACGCATGCCATGTATGTCATGTTCATGCAGGTGAATGCATGTGTATACATATGTATATATATATATACAGGTGTGCATATTATATTATATATACATATATACACGGTCGCCCCCGCGCCGTTCTTTCATGCCCGTCCCCAGGCATGATCTGTCAACAGATGGGCGACAACCACCTCTCCCAAACCACACAGTAGTCTCTAGGTGGGATAGGTGGGATATTTTCGAACTTTACCCAAAAATACCACTTCAATTATGGCGAAGTTTCAAAATTCCTCCCTCTAACTTTCCAAAAAATCGAAATTCCCAAAATATCCAAAATTCCAAAGTATCACTATGCAACATAATGCAATGGAATGTTTGTATGTATGCATGTAAGTTATTGTGCAATGCATTGCATGCCTGGCCTGACCAGGTCGGTGGCAAGCTCGTCGACACGGACGGTGTCAAGTGCCGCGCTTCCACTGGGCCCCTGCATGACCTCTGACATTTCGGAAACATGGATTGAGCTGCCTTGGTCGCGACGGGTGAGCCGCCCAAGCCAACCATCAATCCGGGCAGAAAGGTGTCCGCGCTGTGCTGCTTGGGCATCCTCTTGGCGTGTGTTCACCCAGCTGTCGTCATGCTCTCATATCATCCCAAAGCTCTGACGAACTGCGCTGGACATGTTCGGCCTGCAAGTGCACTCCTGCCGGCGTTTGAAACAGCCCAGAATCGGTAAGAAGAAGTGCCAACCATGGCAGGAAGCAAGTCTTTTGCAATATTTGCAACCACCGCACAAATCGAGCACCCCTGATGCACAGATGCTCCAAGGAGCACACGGAGGTGAATTCTTGCCGCAGCAGCGACACAATACAGGCACCCCAAACGCCAGCCCGGCTCTGCGAATTTATGATGGACCCTGGCACCCGGACCGCGTTGACCTTTGGCTTGCCCCAACATACTGAGGGTTCAGAAACTCGTATTTAACTTGCGCGTCTGCCCAGTTCGATCTCTGGGTTTTAACTTTTTCGCACTTGAGCCGGTCTCCCCCATGGCAGGCTTTGTAGCGTCTTGCACGCCAATTCAGCAACTCCTCCTCAGATTCTCACAGGAACTTACGTGCAGCCACGCAAACTTGCATAAAACCCAACAATAACAAGTCTTCACAACGAATCTTTCGTGAGGCGCTGAATGTTGGGCTGCTTATAACTCGCATCGTACTTGCCACCATTTGTTAAACAGTCAAAGTGAAACGTTTAGTTAGGATTCTTTTGCAGAAATGCAGAAGAGAACAGCCCTTCCATTACTGTACAAGACTCACAGGGCTTGCTCGATAAGAGCAGGCGGAAGCTTTCTCATTCCTGAGCCTCGGGAAGAGACCAGAAAACTGCAGGACACCGTGGGGGCTTCGTGTTTGCAGTCGCCTTCTTGCTGCCTCTCCGTTCCTCGTAGGCAAGCTCCACCTGAACCAAGCAAGATCTGTGCGTGCCCTGGCGAACAACGATGATGATTCACGGTCTAGCCTGGTTGGCGTCGTATGCCTCGTTCTTGAGCTGTCTGACCTCACATTTCAGCCGCTGCTGGAACAAGCGAGGCTCAGACTTTGCAGTGCGATTTGGGTCCAAAGCGGCAGTGCTCTTTGCCTCTTCCAGCAACTCTTGCTCCTGAACAGTGTCAATGCGCAGCCGTTCCCTCGCAGGCACTCCTCCAGCAAAGCACATCGCCAGATAGGAGCCATGCATGAACACGAACTTCCACTAATGATTGATATGATGTCTTAATTTGTGTAACCTCTTCCCACCGTCATCCCCGCAATCTCAGCATGAAGTGAAAAAGGTACCAATCGGTGCTATGGGTACCCTAATCCGCCCTCCCTATCCACTCCGGCACCACTGCGCGCTCCCGTGCCTTCTCGCGCTTCTCGGCTCTCGCATGTAGAGCCTTTCGCAATTTAGGAAAACAATCAACTTTCATGTCCCTTGGTTGCAGTGGAGTCTATCTAGGTCGTTTTCCGTTTGTCCAGTTCTGCCGTATCATGCCCCAAATCTCGATCTCATGTAGACCTCACCATTCCTACACCTGGCAATTACCACGAGCCTGTCTTTTCTGCCACTAAGCAAGCCCTCAAAATGGCAAAAATGTGTGCCCGGTGTTGGCCTTGCGCTCAGCATCCGCCTCGCGCTCTGCAGCACGGGCAGCCTTCACCGCATCCCTTGCGGCTGGTTGCTGGGCCTGCGCAAGAGATGAACCCGGAGCAAAAAGGAATCAGCAAAGTCTCACAAGGGGGTGTCAGTTCATGTCTTGCTACTGTGGATCTCTCCGTCGAGCAAGTCACTACTACTGCTCACCACATTGAAGTCCTTCAGCTCATCACGACGCCGTTTCATGTCGACCTGCCGAGGAAAAGAAGCCAATTTGTACAATGAAACGTTCGCCAAATCGACAAGCATAACCTGCATGGATGCCTCCAACTGCCTCACAAACAGTGTGCAGTGTCACTGTAAAAATCGATGCCAACAGCTTACTGTGGGAGTTTAAACATCAGAGGCACTTACACCGAGGCTAAGGGTTGGCATCGCGCTTGTCTTCGCTCCTTCATGCCCATCTGGCCTCCCGCTGGTGAGCGGTTTGACGGGCAACCTCTGCGGCTGCCAGGTCGGACCTCTGCAAGACATGAAACCAATACTCGCACCAACCTGGTATCTCCTGGTCCCGGGACTTTGCCGCACCGGACACCGGGGCCGCAGCTCCCTTGCACTGCGCTCGCTGCGCAGCTGGGCTTCTTCTGCCTCCGCCTCCTTCTGCCTCGGGCGGCAAGGTGCATACCCGGCATACCCATACGGCCCATACCCATTCTTCACGCGTTGCATTCGGTGTCTGTGTGGGGTGCGGTGGGGTGGGGTGTCCGTGTCAGTGGTCTTATCAAGTCTCTCCTGTTTGTGGGGAGGGGGCGATACTGAGAGAACAACGTGATAGCAATTCGATCTGGTTTCAAACCCAAGACAAGGTGGCCGCGCTTGATGTACCAAACCCGGTTCCCGCACCCTCATTCACCCTGCACTCTCTGAAATTGGTCTACAAACATGCCGTGGCCAGTTTTTGTGCAGAGACCCAGCAAGGCATGTAGACTCTGATGTTGAACACAGTCTGTCCTTGAAAAAAGGCGTTGTCGCTGTTGGATGTGTCCAGCCCCTCGAGGGGTGGGTGAATCTTGATTCCGTACAGCTGTAAGTAAATGTAAGTAATCCCAAAGACTCCAAGACCCTTTACAAACGGCACTGCCCTGTAAGACTCGAGGATTCTGTGGAGCCCGGCTCACTCGATGCGCTTTGGACAGTTGCCTCAGACTCCGCCTTTGTCTGTACAGCTGTGGCTCGGCGCAGGGCCACCTGCCCAAGCAAGCTGCCCCCATATCTTGCACAACTCTGGAACGTTGTGCCATTGCCTTGCGTCGCTGGGCTCCAACTTTCGCCTGCGCCTGTGCAAGTGCATACATTTATTATATCGTACCTGTATGAACGTCATTTAGGAAGGCGATGGGATTCGGGATCAAGGACAAAAGTCGAGCCTCTCTGGCGCTGCGCACAGCTTGCCAAGCTTTTGGCAGCTGACGGAATGCAGCCTTCACAGTGGATTGGACCGCTTTGACCTGACTCGGCTCCAGAAAATGTCTTCAATCATCTTCGCATCAACATCGGCTTTGTGTGTTCGCACCAGTACGCCACACAAATGCTCAACTTGGCCTGGTCCATCCGAACTGGCCGCTTCTGCGTTTTCTGCAGAGACTCTGCAAACCACATGCCAGCCTAAAGGAGATGCATGATCCGGACTTCACACCGCGAGGCTTAAGTCGGAGCCTCCACGAAATGTTGTACTTCCTTCAGCACCTCCAGCGCATGACAGTTGCGAAACATTCGTTAGGCACTCAACCCGACAAGTGGTCTTCAACCCAGGCTTCAAAGCTTAGCCCATTGGTGGATGGGGCCGCTGCCGCTTCGCGTGAATTTTCGGCACGCTGAATGGCCTCGCACTAGCTAGGGGTGTCCCGTTGCTGTTCGACACTTCCAACTCGGCCAGCAGAGTTCCACCTTCGCGACCAATTGTTCCAGGCGGTGCCGTTCCCGTTCGCGGCCTGGGGGATGAGCCGTCTAAAATCTCACGCCAGCGCTGCATGACAAATACTTGCATTGAGGTCCACGAAAGGTGTGCAAACCTCTTCTAGGTGCCTACCTGGCTCGACTTTGAGAACATCCTCCTCCACAGTCTCATACTCCACCTGTCCGGACTGCGCAACCACTTAAGTGGCAGTTTCAACGTTCTATATGGCCTGACGGAACAAGTTGCTCTCCATCGAAGTCTTCAACTTGTCCAGTGCCTTCTGAGCTTTCTTTAACCTCGACACAACATCAAGAGACCTTTCAGATGCCAGCGCAGCAAGTCTGAGTAAATGGCTTGTCCGGCGCAGCGTCGGCAGCGCAGTCGCCTTGGAAGTGGAACAACTAACACGGCCAGCAGCCACTACGTAGTGGCGTAATTGTTGTGCGACCTGTGGCAGCGCCACGCTGGTCGACGAGGCCCAGTTGGCTCTCCGCATCAAAAAGGGCCTCCAAAGACTTGTTGAATCAGAGCTTCGCACATCTTCGCTCTTTGATCCGAGAGCCGCACCTTGACGAAAGTCTCGTGACTCTCCTTGGATGTCTCAGCTGCCTCGGCGTCAAACGTGAGAGCAATAATGGTACCTCCTTAGTAGAAGTCTGACCTCTGCAGCCTTCACAGCAGCAGCTTCAACCTCCTCGCAAACGATATCCGGAGGCCACTCGAGAGGCAAGGCCGAGCCGGGCCGCGCCTCCGTGGCACTGGTCAGCGCGTTCTGGTGGTTCAGGAGCCGGTCCTGCTCGCACACGCTGACGACGCTCTGATGCCACATCTCGGGGCCCGGTATCCTGGACAGTGATCAAACTGCATCCGGCCTGCGCATTGGATGTCAGAGGCCATTGTGTGTTGCGTCGCAGTGTTAGGACATGCAGCTGCACGGCTTGCTTGCCTTCTCCAACCGCTGTTGGGCAGTCGTCTCCCCCTTGCGAGCCTGGTGGTGTCAGCGAGCTTTCATTCTGTCTCTGTATAAATGGAAGATGCAGGCAATGAGCAGTCGCAACTCTCACATCAACCGTCTCGTTGGCGGACCTGGACTAGCTCAGATCGTTTGTCCTTCCATGCTTCTTCGGCTCGCAGGCGCTTTTCCTGGATCGGGGAGCGTTCCAACTCAACATTGCCATGTTTGGCATCCCGATCGTAGCAGTGGCAGTAGTAGTAGTTGTAGTAGTTGTAGTAGCAGCAGCAGCAGCAGCAGTACTTTTCTTTAATAGTAATCGCTACTGCTACGGCTACAGCTAGCACTAGCACTACGGTGGATGGAGGAAATCTTGCACCGCCCAGACGTTGATTCATGACATCGCTCGCATTGTTGGTCTACTCAAAGTGGTGCAAGATTTCCTCCATGAACGCTACCCGTCAGCATCGTCAAATCGAGACATGAAGAAGCTTCTTGGAGTGGAAGTGTTTTTGGGACGGCGTGCTTGTAAAAACTGTTGAATTTTCGTCTGGAGGGCCATCCCCATGCTCGGGCGAGCAGGCTCGATCTGCTTCGCAATTGGCTACGCAGCTATTCTTGTATCTTCATGTCGGTTAACATTCAGTTAACGCTCGGTTAACACTACAGTTAACAAGGTTAACAGTACAGTTAACACTGCAACAAACCCGCAGCAAAAAACAGCATTTTGTTGATTTTATACCGTACAGAAGCAAAAATCCTGACTTTATTGCTCTGAATGTTGGGAGGGGAGAAAATGCTGCCTTTGCAGCATTTCGGCAGTGCCAACTTTAGTGTGAACTGAGCGTTAGCTGCGTGTTAACTGTGGAAAACAGAGAAATGGCTTGTATGCCATGTTGCCGTCCGTAGCCACACTAGACATGTGGCCAAACCACCCAGATTTGTTCCCGTCAAGGATCCTGTCAGTAGCACTAGCACTAGCAATAGCTCTAGCACGAGCACCCCAAACCTGCTCTGCAAAACGAGACAGACAGCCTCCCCGAGGCTGCCCAGACGGAGAAGGCCGGACAGTCACTGTCCTGCTCTTGCCGAGACTGCCCAGGGTGTGCAGGCAGGTCAGGCCAGAGTTGCTGTGGAAGTAGTGGACCAACAGAGCGCTGAAGCCAGCACAGCACCCAGCAGTGCAGTCGGAACGCCGAGAGGACAGGCAGTGCAGAGACGAAGCCGCTTTAGCAGTGTGTCAACACCCAGTCAGAGTGCGATAGACAGACAAGACAGCCTAGACAACAGTGCAACAACAACACCGAGGGGGGGCGGGTCGGGCAGCTTTGACACCCCGCCCCCCAAGAAACGGCTCCTTGACGAGAGCCCAAGCAGCAACCCCGTGCGGGTCAGACAGATAGAACAGCTCAAGAAAACACTAGACAAACACAGCCCAGCCTACTAGACTACCTCTGCGGAAAAGCGGCAGAGCAGGAGGCCAGACGAGGCTTTAAGGCAGACGCACGAAGCGATAGACAGTAAAAGCCGAGGATGCAGTCCTTGCAGAAGAGAGCTTCCCAAGCAGTAGAACAGCTTGGGCTCGAGCCGGTCGTAGGTGTTGTCGCACGGAAAAAGGGGGAAGGCCGAAAGGCAGCAAGAACAAAGTGAAGGCAGTGCCGGATCTGCGGAAACGAAGAGCCGACGTGCCAGCCAAGGCCAAGTTTGGCATGATGACGGAGCTAGACAAGCTTGCTATCGAGAAAGGCAGCAAGCGGCAAGCTAGGCTACAGCTCATGAAGTCCTATGGAGTCAGCGAGACCTTCTGCTGGAACCTGCAGAGAAGTGCAAAGAGACAAAAGGTCACCGAGTTCCTCGCCAAGACTGGGACGGGCAACAGTGCGAGACCGTCAGGCAGCCATTTGGCCCTCGTGCACTTGGTCAGTAAGGCGCTAGGCAGGAGATTGCCAGACAGTGAGAAGACACTAGGCAGGCCAGACTTTCTAAAGCCAGTCTGAGCCTAGGCTCCCAGCCATTGCAGTCAGGCAGGTAGAGGAGACCGGGAGACAGCTGACAGCCATGCGGAAGAAGCGAGACACCCCTTGGCTGGCAACGCCAAGCAGAGAGAGAAATACAAAATGAAGCTGCTTGCAAAATGCGGGCTTAGGAGGAGGAGCTGCCAGCAGACAACCAACCTTTCAGTGGAGGAAGAGAAGCCAGACTCGAGACAGCCTGTCGAGGCTCTGGGACGTCCTCCTCCAGCAGGCAGCCAGCCCCAATGGCCAGGCAGAGACATGAGACAGTGATCACAATGTCAGACCAGATACCGGCTTGGCTCAAGCCAAGCCCAGGAAAGGTACTCACCTCAGTGCTGAGGCTGAAGCTAGTCAGGGAGCAAGGCAAACTCAGGACAGCAGCGAGGGCAGCCAGGAAGGCGGCAAGCACACAAGCCTGTGCCGACGCAGCAGTTGAGGGAGCCCTCCTTGGCAAGCAGGCTCGAGTCGTCGTTGGCGATTTGGCTGCAGACAGTCTGCGAGGCCAGGAGGTTGTTTGTGGCAAGACGTACAACCACGTCCTCGTGGAGTGCAACGACACGCAGCACTCGGTAGAGCAGACAGACATCACTGTGGATGTCGGAGACAGACTCCTCGGACCGGTCATTGACTTGGACAAGGACCAGATAATTCTGAAGAAGGTGAGTCCGACAAAGGTCATTGCTCTTGAACGAGCCCCTTCCGGCCAACGGCTCTTTCCCATGGTGGATGATGCTTTTAGTGGAGCCCGAATTTTTGTTTTGCTAAGCAGCCGTAGGAACAGGCCTGTCTACTATGAGATCGGATGTGTGTCACAGGCATGTGGTTCAAGGCGATTGTACTTGTCTGCTTTGATTGCAACTTCTGGTAGCGTTGAACTCCGTCCTCATCCTCAGCGACCTGGCTAGCACTTGAAGCCCGCCTTCACTCCTCGCTGTGATCCCCCTCATACCGTATGTCAAGAAGGAGGAGCTTCCGAAGATCCTCGAGGCTTTCGGGGAGGTGGCTCCTATGGAGTGGACAAGGGAGCAGATCCTCCTATGCACCCGCGAGTCCGCGAGCTCGACGAGGAGAACCCGGGCAGGAACCGATCGATGCCCAAACAGGTGAGTGAGGAAGGATGCGTTGCAAGAATGACGCAAAAAGAATAGGCTGCTCGCAAGAAGCTCGAGCTGCAGTGCTTCCTCACCGACGAGATGGGCTTCCAGCTGACTCAAGGTCCCGGAATCTCTGCAGCCGCGGCTTGGACAGCCTGCAGTGCAAGTCACTGAATTGTTGGGGCCTCACCATGTAGCACATCGGGGAGTTCTGCGTGAGTGTGAAAGTTTGGATGCCTCAACTTGGCTGCGTCCGACACACGTGGTCTGGCCAATGGGCTTTGCTTGGCCCTCTGCAGTTGCACAGGACGCGACAGTTGCAACAATCTCAAGTCGACTTATTTTTAAACTTTGTTTGAAACGTCTCAGGTTTTTTGGGCGCGCTACTACTTGTCGGGGTCAACCATGAACTGTGGCACGCCGGCTCCGGAAGCTCTGCTGGGTAAAGATGTTGTGTACCCGAGCACCACGAGTCAGGCTGCCATCTCATTGTGCTTGAATTGCGAAAACTTGGATTTGGACATGTTTCGTCTGCGTTTGAAGAACATACATGCAGGTCTGTTTGATGAAGGTTATTGCAGCGCGACTCGACTCCTACGTACAGCTAGCCAGTGGAAGCTCTGTGGTGAATGGCTGCACTGAGAGCACGAAATGGGTTTGTTCTGGACTTCTGGACAATCCATCCAAGAATAACGAAGTAAAGTGTAGTATAATTCCAACCAGGTCTGCTGTCACGTAGCAAACTGAGACAAGAATATAACAGCATGTAGCTTAAACCTGCGCGTTCATTCTGTATTCCAGGCCCTGCCGTCGGTGGTGCCGATGTAGGCGGATTCGTAGATTTGGTTTCTATTTTAGAACACACAGCGACACAGTAACATCGCGCGAAGGTGCACGAGTTTCATTCTGCCTGAGCCTGCACAGACGAGTAACAGAAGCCGGTCTCCTCGAGACTTAGTTTCCAATGTTTTTGTTTCACGCGAACATGGCCACGTTATCTTGCGGACTGCCTCTCTGCCTCTGGACTTCGCGACAATGAGCAAGCTCCAGTGCCTGGATGGCTAGCTCTGCACCACGGCCAGGAGCAGCATGGCTCTGTTGCTGTCTTGCAAGGCTTCCAATGCCTCGGCTCTGCCTTCAAGCGTGCTGCTCCCTGCTGCAGCAGCATCTTCGACTCCGCCGAGAGCAAGGTGACAGTCTGTGCGACATCTCTCGGATGCCTGCCAGTAGCTGACTGCCTGTCAGCAGCTCTCCGTGGCTGTAAAGCTGCAAGTCTTTCAGAGCTGCCTCTTCCTCTCTGGCTGCCACAGCTGGGAAGTTCTCGTAGTCCAGCTGCAGCGGGAAGCAGGAGGACGGGCTGGCCGTGAATTTCATGAACAGCCACTTGCATCGAGCCAGTTTGCCCTTCAAGGGGTACCTGCACGGCCGTATTCGACGTGCAATCCACTTTGCCCTTGTTTCCGAACCGAAATGTTTGCGCGCCACTCTGACGGATCTCAACCGCCTCTGTTCCGTGCTTTCGCCAGGCCAGCGGCCAGCTTACGGATCTTTTCCATGCTTCTCAAAACACAGTCTTGGAAGACACTTGCTGTGACGGAGGAGCCCGAAGAGGCCACGTCCTCGACCTTGATCAAAGACCTTCCTCTTCTGACTGATCTGCTGTTGCTTCTCCGTAGCCTGTTTCCAAGTACTCTTCTGAAGCTGAATTCCTGGGAGGGCTTCCTGGATCTCTGCCTCCGGGATGCGGTACTCCTCCCCCGCGTGTCCA